TAGGGGGATTTCGAGATGTGGAGAGAAACCGTTGGCTTGCAGCACCTTTGAACTCCTGCAGCTCTCAGGTCAGTAATATGGTCAGCAGCAATGCTATGCTGAGTATTATTGATGAAGTAAGAAATGTTGTGGAGCACTGGTGTGTATTTTGGGGCTTAGAGGAGAAAGTGAATAGAAATAACAGCAGCTAATATAATATGAATAATGTTAGAAGTGGAGACCTTGATGATCTTCTGCAGGTTCCTCCAGGTCTCCTCCAGGGCCTCCATGGTGAACCAGGTGTAGGGGTTGGACACCACCTGGTAGCTCTTGATCTGCTGGTCCAGCTCTGCCAGCTGGTTGAAGTCGGCGTGTGCGGAGCTCAGCGAGGAGCGGAATGCTTCGTGGGCCTCACGCAGCGCCCGGATCTCCTCCAAAGAGTTGCACCGGACCGGGTCCGTCAGATCCTCTTCAGCATTCTCAAACCAGCTGTTGAAGGCTGATGCCTTCTTGGCAAATGTCAGGAACAAGTCCTCAACCTGTGGAGAATAAGTCAACCTTAAAGTCCAGTTTACTTCCATGACATCAGGAGTGGTGAAATGCTGTCCCTTGTATAGATTAGAGCAACACATTAGGGTACCTATCTCTCCACGTCATGCCCCGCCCCTTTTTGGGTGAAAACATGCGCTGTGTCTTTTTGATCTATATAGAGCCCACTTACAGACAGACAGGCAAATAATGACACGATATGATTGGAGGACGATGATCAGCAGCGGTTTATGGTTTGATTCAAATCAATAGTCAGTCTGCCGGTGGACGAGCTGCAGGCAGCATCTAACACTCAAACTGGGATTACCTTGGCTTGTCAGAGTTTTGCTTACGTCAATGCAGATATACATTCACTACTTATCATTACAACTGTTTACTTTGACAATTGACGTTAGCGTCATTAGCATCATGATATAGCATCATTAGATTGTCCTTTTTTCTAAGCGGCTGTAAAGAAATCTTAATTCTGGATTCTTTCTGCTTGACGACGACGCCTTGTTTTCACAGGAAAGTAGGCAGGGCCATCATTTTGCTAGGAAGAGACGCTGCTCTAATCCATTCAAGAGGTTTTAAGTTGATTTGTGGAAGTGTTACAAATTCAGTAGCTGTCCTTGTTCTGGCCTCCCTACCTTTCTGAAGTGCTCTTGAGCCTCCAGAAGCTTGGTCTTGCGAGATGAGGAGTTGGACAGCAGCTGGTTCCAGCGCTTTATGAGGGCAGCGTGACGAGCTTCGATGGCTTTTGATTGGACATGTTTGGCAGCCAGCAGCTGGTCCTTGAGCGCTGTGATGTTTGTGATGCCCTCCTGCTGGAAGGCCTGCAGACCGGCATCAAACGTCTCCTTCACACACAGAAAGATGGTGTCAACACAAAGAGGAATACGGTACAGAGAAATCTAATATTCTTTGGGGAGAAGCAGTACCTGCTTGGTGAGCAGAGTCTGCACAGAGGACAGGTCTCTGCCGTAGTCATCAGTCTTCAGGCTGTTCTCTTTCTCTCCTGAACACAAAACACATCCACACATTCAGAGCCACACTCAACCCTCACAAACACTCATCTAATTATTACGGACATGTAAAGATAAGTTCTGCTTTTAAAGGACCTGCAACTATCTTTGACTAATGGATTCATTCCCCGCTATGTAACATCTATGCAGAGTTTGATCAGAGCACAGATTGATGTCAGGTGTTCTGTACAGGCTAAATGTGTCAGAGGCGTTCCAGCGAATGAGACTGCTGAAGACGAAGGAAGGTGAGGTCGTACCGATCCAGGACTCCACCACATCTGCCTTCCAGTTGAACTGCAGGAAGGCAGAGTTTTCGTCCAGCTTGGCCTTCCTCTGAGCGGCGGCCCTCTCCAGCTCCGACACTTTGCCTCTCAGTGCCGACATCTTGGCACTGATGTTGTCTAAATGATGGTTGTTCTGTTGGAAACACACTCAATGATCATGTTGTTTCTGTAGTCATACTGTACAAATCAACATATGCTAATTCAATAAGTGTATTTTCTACCTTCTTGATCAGCTCCTCTCCGTTAGTGCACACATCGTTGACTCTGTCCCTGTGCACGGTAAAGTCAGTCTCAAATGCTTCATGCTTTTTCAGCAAGCCCTGTGTGAAAGAGAGGTTTCCTCAGTAAACTCATAGCTAAGGTTAAACACATATTTACTGTGATGTATTTTGGTGTTTTGCACACCTGCACAGCAGCCAGTGTATCTCCATAGTCCTCACTCCCCACCAGATTCAACTTCTCATTAATCCAAGCTTCTTCCTCTTCCACGTTTGCCACAAACTGCTGGTACTCCAGCGACTCCTCCAGCCTCTGTCCCCTGGAGAAACACACATTCATACATTTACACCAGGGTTTCCGTTAGCCGGTAATTAACGGTTTTTAGCTGGTAAAATGTATAAAACCGGTAAATTCAAAACGTGCCGGTCAAAATATCCGGTAATAATTAGGGATGCTCCGATCGATCGGCCGCCGGTCATTATCGGCCGATATTCACTCTTAACAGTTTGATCGATGCTCTCTATAAAGGCCGATCAGGAGAGCAGGAACTGATCAATATGGACATAAACGTGAGTGAAGTATAACCGGACGCAAGAGAGAGATCAGAGATCAGATCAGCTGCTGAGTCTGACGGAGACAAGCAGCTCTGCATGATCACCTGAAGCCCCGCCCACTGTTTAGGGAGCTGCATGAGAAACTGACTGGCTGTCAGGAGAGAGGGAGGGAGAGAGGAAAAGAGAGGCTCCGTTTCTCCTGTGTTATTATCCAAAGTGAATGTAAACTTTTGAATAATGTACTTTATCTACTATAAGTAATTTGTTTGAATGTAATAATTATGTTGTTTGTGGAAGCGCATCATTTATTGAAAAATGAATCAGAACTTTTCAATTTTCATGTCACAACTGAATTGGGCAGTTGAAGTTAGCTTTTACGGCCCCTACACACGGCGGCATGCGCTTCAACGCTTCTGCCCATTCACTTTGAATGGGGTGACATCACGCTTTGCCGAACTGCATTGTGGGAGCAAAGCGTAACTCGCGTTGCTCGCTTCAAAAGTAGAGTAATGTTCTACTTTTGAAGCTTCGACGGAAGCGTCAGCCAATCGAATCATATGCCAGTACAAGCTCTAGCCCAGTGGTCGCCAACCAGTCGAGTGTGGTGCGGGTAGATCGCGGACCGTTAAAAAAGAAAGTAAGAAAAGAAAGAAAAATTCAATTAAAATAATAATGTTTGAAAAATACGTTTTTAGATGTAAACCTATCATCCACCACCCCGTTAGCAGGTGCAACTCGATTGACGTATATTTGAGACACCTCAATAATATAATACATTAACCGTGATTTACGTGAACCTCATCATGACACAAGAGACGACGGCAGGACTGTAATTTCCCGTGTTCAGTGAACGCAACAGAGGCAACACACCAGACCAATCAGAGAGTTGCATGGAAATAGAGAGGCGAAGTCCCTCCCCTTCCGGGAGCCTCCATGGGACCCCGGAAGCGGAAAATTATACATTGAATTCAATGGAGAGAGAAAACGTATCTTTTGATCCCGTTTGAATTGTGCCACGAATGACACATATGATGTTTGTCAATTTAAAAGAACATTTTGCAAGTCAAAAAAATTAAAATGTGTCGTAAAACTGTGAAGTAACACATTTTTTTGTGTTAAGCCGCTCAGTGAACTACATGTCTCTGGTCCCGCACAATACGCGTCACCAACACAAAGATGGCCGTCACGTTGGCACATTTCACCTCATTCTTTCAGAATGAGAATAAAAGTATAAAACGAGGTGAAAATCACTACAAGTCTGGGCACGTTGAGAGCTGTACATACACGAAAGGGGAGTTAGTCGGTTCTGTAAGAGCCAGCATGCGGGACCGGCTTTACAAGGTTTCGGTGAGTAATATGAGTGCAATGTTTAAGGCTAATGTCAGTCAATAAGGGAGAGACAGCAAGCGCATTTAGTGGCATCTGCGGGCAGTGGCAAGTACTTCCGGCATCTGCCACGGAGGCCGCTACTCCGTGGTATCTGTGGCAA